AGCCCGAATGATCAAGCGCTTGGGCTTGTAGAGTTCTTGTCGCGTGGTTGCTTGCTCGCCTGACAACGTAGAGAGGATTGTCGCAGCGAGTCACAATGAGTGGGATGGAACTCGAGGTGGATGGAGGGCTCCGGGTGGTGGGGGCAGCGAGATGATGACATTGAATCCCTTACTCTGTACTCGTTGGAGGGAGATAAGATCCGATCTTAACGGGAACGGGACGTTTAGGGTCCCATGCCAGGGTCAGGCGGAGATACGGGCGGCTGAATTAAACGGGATGTGAGCCAATCACAGTGAGCCGCTCAACCATCAATCCAGTTTGTCGGACCTGAAGTCAACCGCAGTTATTATGGATATTTCTTGACACTCCTACTCCGTAAAGTTGCTGGCATTAGGTAGTCAAGCTCCTTATCTTGAGACCCAGAACTGGAAGGCTTTGAAAAAAGTCCGTGGTAAATCTACCATGGTATTTCATGTATTTTCTTGGTGTCATCGAAAAGCAAAAGACTCAACTACCTAGGCTGTTTGTATTTTATAGATCGTACAATCAATACATAAGTCGCACGGCATCTACCTTGCATATCAAGATATGAGTTTAATCTGAAATATCGATTTTTGAAGGTGAAATGGTCTTCAGAGGAGGCGGGATCCTCGTAAACAAAGGAGCCATAACGCACTGAAGTGTCACAACAGTAAAAGCGTCCTAAAGAAGGATACACAAAAGTAAGGGTTGCTCGCGAACGCATGAATCACTGACACATGAACGTTCCGTATCACATGTGAGCCTGAGACACCCTGTGACCGTATGGCTAAAAACAATATCATCAGATCAGCAAGTATCTACACACTAAAGGCAATTCGTATCCTCTCCCGGGGCTCCCTCAATAACTGCTGGAAGTACGTTGTCTTCAGCGCAGGTAGGCTGGGTAGTTTTAACTGGATCCATCATATTCTTTATTTCAGGAGACCATAGCGCGCGTAATATGTATTTCAGTAGTTGGAAGCTTTGCTCTAGACATGAAAATCTTAAGGGTGATGTGTTGCGACAAACATTCGTCGAAGCCTTCAGTTTCGAGGCCAAACGACTTACCGGCTTTAACTACCGGGCATTCTTCCTGGCAAGATCTTCTCACAAGTTTCCCTGGTCTCGAAACTGGACAGAGATGGTAAATAACGGCTGTTAAGCTTTTCTTAACAAGTTACAAATCAGTCGTCGCTAGACCGGGAAGGTAGATACTATGGTGTGCGTAAGCTTGTCAAAGATTCAAGGCCAGCAGGAGAAAAGAAGACCCTTCTTTTGTCTGGTTTGTCTAGGCAGAGCTGCCCTTCATAAGACTCTTGGGAGTATTTGTCAGACCTGGGGCACCGGCATCACGGCGTATAACTTAGAGGGACTTGTGTTCTGATGAACCAAACTTTTGGCGGCAGAATTTCGATTGCGGTTGTATATGATAGAAATGGTCAGTTGATGGAGGCTTGTTCGAACTCGGGAACAGCTGAGTCTCGAGACAGTAAAAGTGAATTATCGATAAACTCAATCCCGAGATGACTGCGGCGATGCTTAGACTAACAAGATTATTAATATACTATATATGAAGAAAGCGGTTAGCCATGGCCTGAGGTGAAGAAATTAGCATCCAACTCCGTAAATACAAGAGTTGCAGAGCACTCCTCGGAATGATTTGGGGGCATCTAACTAACACATGAAAGTCTACTTTCAGCGTTTAAGCTTTTGGCAGCTCTGTGCCTCCATCTGTCTGGGTATGTTCGCAAGATATGGAGGTCATTCCAAAGGCCCGAGTCTACTGATTGTGGACAACTTCAAGGATTATGTAGAGGCCATACCGGAGGCCGAGGAATGTAGAGCTGCTGTATTTTGACTGTTAAAAGTTCCGCGCTGAGTCATGTATCGTCAAAGTCGATTCAATTGGTAGCATCACAAAGAGAAAAAGAAAGGCAGCTCAGGAAATAGATTACAACATGCCATGGAAATCTTCTCAGCTAAGGTCCTGAAGTAAATGAACCCTGTCCTCATATTGATAGTGCAACAGACTTAGACAAATTCCTACAACTCCAGACCAAGGCATAATTTCAAGATTTCAACGTAAACTCCAACTCCGTGCTAACCAAGTGCCATCCTAACCAAGCAGAATTCCTACCTCGTCTTTGGCTTGTGCCTCCCAGGTCTTTAGTAAGATCTGGCCGACACCCCTTCGGTACGCAATATCTCCAATGCGCTCGATCCAAAGGACATTGACAAAGTCAATCATTTCATCTGCATCCATATGCTCTTCAAATTTCTCATTATCAAATACATGCGAACCACGACGCTCTGTGGCTGTTGATATGGCGATAAACTCCAGGCGCTCTTCACCATCATAGTTGGAAGACTGAATACCCAGCCATGCGTCGTGAGCGCGGAATTGACCTGCCCATCGGTTTGCTTTGTTCCAAATAGTACCTACGGCAAGGGGTGGATTGGTTCGATCACGATGAGCGAGAGTTGTATGAAACTCAACCTCAAAGAAACCAGTTGTTGTTTTGAATGACAGTAATGGGCCGGGGTATGCTTGCTCGCCTACAGGTGGCTCATAGCCACCCGTCTCGGGAGGATCCTCGACAGGGATAGGATATTTGAACAACGCAGAGTCGTCACTATCGTGTACATAGTACGAACCGCTGCGAGACCATCCTGGAGGGAGCTCCGAACTAGGGCTCCGACGACCCCGAAGATCACGGTACTGAAGGCCAGTGTTCATAACGGGGGCGGTTGCAGCTCGGTCCGTCAAACTCCAGGTAACGGTAGGTTTGATCCGGAAAGGGTGAGCGGACCGGTATCGTTTGGTCTCTTGACCACGCTTTCCAGTGCGAGCCTCTTCAACATAGTCGGCAGCGGCTCTCCACAAAGTCAAATCGACCGGAATGTTATCAAACCACCAGCCCATCCAAGACCAAGATGGGAGAAATGGTGGGCGAGAGAGAGCTCTTCGTCGAATGGACGCATGCGGGCGCCACAGTAAGGAAATATCTAAGAACGCGATTGGCATGCCATAAATAAACCCACCAGGAAAAGAACGAGATAGTACGTGTGTGATTCCAGCAAAAGCAGGCAGCGTGTCGTCGACAAGCGTCAATTTCCGTGCGCTGTATTCCATCGCGTAGCGGGCATACTCATCAAGATCAGGCCAAGGTGGGTGCTGGAACGCAAACGCAGCATCAGGGACAGCGCCCGTACACTCTTGACGACCTCCTCTGAGTTTCTTCATCACACTGTTTGGGCTCCCCTGCCATGTCTCGCAGTGACATTCCCAGGTTATTGAGTCTTCAAAGAAAAAGACCGAACGTCGAGAATAAATGCGCTCAACCAGAGTCCAGCCCCTCGTATACCATGGCGAGGCGGCAACCAACTCCTGGTGAGTACGACCAGTGGTCCGAAGGCCGCGCGTTGATCGTTTTGGATCAAGTGAAGGCAGCCCTGTATAAACATCGCCAGTAGCGGCAACAATAGTCAGGTAAGAATTAGAAAAGACGTATGCCATGTGCTTAATGTGATCATCCATCTCTTCCCGATTATCCTGGGTTATACAGATACGGTCAATCCAAATGTGTCGAATTCCAAGTTTCTTAGCAAGCCACATGGCGTCCAGATAAGTCTGAGGCATGTCGAGATTAGGCAGGCGATCTTGGAAAGCTTCCACATTAGATTGAAGCAGATGTGTAAACATCGGTTCTCCGTTGCGCCGGGTACCGTTAACATAGCTGAGAGCCAAATAACGGTCCTTGGGTGTTGCTTTGACTAAGCGCCGCTCAACGACGTCAATAAGCCAGGCAGGGCGCCAAGTTGTGATATCAATATCAGAAGAGACGGCGCAGTGGTGGTGGTGATCCGCGTTACAAGCATCAAGCCACTCACGAATGCGAAGAACTGGGCCACCCTTGGTAACAGCTGAAGATGCCCTGCGTTGAATTGAGGAAGCGACAGCTGGAATTGGAATCTCCTTCTCCTTTTCACCACGAACTGCCCTAAACGATCCAAGCAGGCGATCGGTGATACTGTTTCGCTTGCTAGAATTCGGAGGATGGTCTCTATCGCGGGGTTCCCGGGGAACACGTGGAGGGACACGGCTCTCGCGACGCCTATCTCTGTCGACTTCCCTATCCTTGAGTCTGTCTCTGTCCTTCCCATTGGCATAATCCCTGTCTCGTCCGTGATCGTCATCTCGGTCTCTCCCATTGTCGCGATCTCTTTCTCTGTCTCGATCTCTTTCTCTGTCTCGATCTCTTTCTCTGTCTCGATCTCTTTCTCTGTCTTTCTCCCTGTCGTAGTCACGATCTCTGTCGCGGTCTTTAGCACGATCTTGATCTCGATCGCCAACCCCATCAATATCCGGGTCTCGGTCCAAGTCGCGGTCGTGATCTTTGTCCCGGTCTCTCTCCCGATCCCTGTCTCGTTCTCTATCCCTATCCCTATCACGGTCGCGTGGTCTGTCGCGGTCACGTTCTGGCTCAGGAGAGCTTTCATCGCGGGAATCATGCGAAGAGCTGCGTTCTGGCATCGTCGGTCAAGGTTACAGGTCTATGGCAAGTACGCAGAAGACGTCGCGTTGGCGCATACCACAATTGTTGTCGCAATGATACCTCTAGGTCTCCCACAAGGTTTATGACTGATCAAATAGGCTGGGGGTTGAAAAATCTCATGTTGATGCCGAGAATTGGTCATCATAAGTGTACATGTTGGTCAAAGCCCCTCAGCTTTCGCGGCCTGGATGGACAGCGCTGAGATCTTATTGGCTCGTCTGACCGGTACAAAAACAAACGAGTTTAACAACGTCATCCCAGCAACGTCGGGAAATGGAGCTACAACAAGCAAGATATATCAGACTTAGAGTACATGCTAATTAAAATAGAAATATTAAATTACTGAATTTATATAAAGAAAATGCTTAAGGATTAAATCTTGTCGTATTAACTTGGTCAAAAACTGCAAAATGTTGAAAGAAAGGTCGAACCGAGGATTGAACTCGGGACCTTCTGCGTCCAAGTATTAACCATACATTGTGAGGCAGACGTGATAAACCACTACACCACTCGACCTTGATCTTATTATAGACTGCCTTTTTCTTGATATATAATATTGACGTAATAGACAAAAAGTTAGGTAGTTACTATCATAGTTCTAAGTAAAGTACGCCATACAAGCGTCATTAAGGTGAATTCTGTATAATACTTAAGTAGGACCAAGAGCACACTAAATGAATTAATAACTTTAAACAGAATTAGCAAGAACAAACTACTGTTTATAAAGCTCCATTATGTCTGATAAGGGATCAATTGGCTTAGGATTGTCCAAGAGACAACCTCTTCTGCAGGATAAGTCAAGTCGTGGTGACGACCAATCTCTCCCTCTGAAGGCAATCAAGACTCACCCTCTCGGGAGTAAAGGCGATGAAAATGCGAGTGTCTATTTCATCGGCACGGCCACTACCATAATCGAATGGGAAGGGTTTCGACTACTCACAGACCCCAACTTCCTCCATGCCGGTGACCACGTCCATCTTGGTCCTGGAGTTACTGCTGAGAGGCAAACTAACCCAGCGGTTGACCTACATGAGCTGCCATCACTAGACGCAATTCTTCTGTCGCATTATCACGAAGATCACTTCGATCGGTTGGTAGAAGACTCCCTCAATAGAGATTTCTTAATTGTCACAACGCCTCATGCGCATAGATGCTTGACATCTAAGAATGAGCCGTTTCGCAATGTCGAACCACTCGATTTTTTCGACCACTTGGAGCTCAAAAACGAAGGTTCGAAGGCTGGTGAGCCTCTGCCCGTCATCAAAGTCACAGGTATGCCTGGCAAGCATGTTCCCCCGGGCCCCCTGGCTGCAGTCAACGACCTGCTTGGTGCTGTTCCGCCAACAAATGGCTGGATGCTCGAAATGGGTTACCGCAAAGTTGACAAAGACAAGCTCCAAACTGGCTATCGGATTTACATCTCTGGAGATACTCTTCTTGTGGATGAGCTCAAGGAAATTCCGAAGTGGCTTCGAGAAGAGCGCATCGATCTGATGCTCATACACCTGGGAGGTACCACTATCCCTGGGCCATCTGCGCCATTGATCATGGTCACACTTGATGCGAAGCAAGGTGTTGAGTTGATGAAAATGATGGATCCAGAGATCACGATTCCAATTCATTATGATGACTACGACATATTTCTGTCTCCTCGCAAAGACTTTGAGACTGCCGTCAAGGAAGCCGGGATGGAGAATCGAGTAGTTCTTCTGGATCGAGGCGATAGATATGGGTTCACTGTGACGAAGAATTAAGCCACATTGGAGAGATGGCTTGTCGATGAGCAGGCTACTTTCGTGTTGACTGGAGGCTGGTATAAGCAAATCTAGGATTCGGCCGGTGCTTGTGGTCATACATCCCTTTGGAGCTTGATAAATCTTGGGCAGAGGATAAAACAAGAAATGATGGATGAAGGAGAGAACGCGGTCCCTCTCGAAAAAAGAGTGGTGTTGGCAACATCCAATACAGCGGTGAGTTGCAGGGGACTGTACGACGAGGCTCCAAGCCACGAATGCTGAAAATATGAAGCAACATAAAAAGCACTAGGTATTAATTCAGAATGATACTTTGTTAGATGCATCTCACGATCTTCTTCGCCCTTCTCTACCTATAGAAGAGTTAGGCATCGAAGTATACCTAATTACCTTCTAAATTTGACTTCTTTAGCCAATACCTGCCCTTAACCAATTATTCAGAACTGCCCCGCCTTTCCTCGATTTTCTACCCAGGTGGTAGGTGGGACGAAGACTACACACGGTACCTACCTACCTTTGGTAGTTTGATCTTTAACCTGAATTGATCACCCAAAGTCATCTTCATCATGACCAAATTCCGGCCCTGCATTGACCTTCATGCAGGTCAGGTCAAGCAGATTGTCGGCGGTACTCTTGACAGCACATCGTCAGCTCTTCAAACCAACTATGTCTCGCAACATCCTCCAGCTCACTTTGCTCAACTATACCGCGACAATGATCTCACTGGTGCACATGTCATTATGTTGGGCCCAGGAAATGAGGGGCCTGCGAAAGAGGCGCTTGAAGCCTGGCCCGGTGGTCTTCAGATTGGAGGTGGCATCAGTGACAAGAACGCGAAGGAATGGCTGAATGCGGGAGCAGAGAAGGTACAGTGAAGAATGCACCACATGGGACCGATTTAACATCCAATAGGTCATCATTACATCGTACCTTTTTCCCGAGGGCCGCTTCAGTCAAGTGAGGCTTGATGCAGTGTTGCAAGCTCTTGGCGGTGATAAAAACAAGCTTGTTATTGACCTAAGTTGCCGACGCCGAGGAGAGAATTCTTGGTTCGTTGCAATGAACAAATGGCAAACCATCACTGATATGGAAGTCAACCAAGGTTAGTCAAGTCCCCCAGCAAATATGCCTAAAGTCAAAGACTCACCAGTTACAGAATCTATCAAGTCTTTGGAGCCTTACTGCTCGGAATTCTTGATCCATGCTGCAGATAATGAGGGTCTACAAAGGGGAGTTGATGAGAATCTTGTGCAGCGTCTTTCTGAATGGTGTTCGATTCCAGTGACTTATGCTGGGGGTGGTAGACATCTTGAAGACTTGGAGAATGTGAAGAGGCTCAGCAACGGTAAGGTGGATCTCACAATCGGAAGTGCATTGGACTGTTTCGGAGGCTCAGGTGTCAAGTTTGATGATTGTGTTGCTTGGAATAAGAAACAAAACATTTAGAAAGAAAATAAATTGACTCATGAACTAATTCTAAGCAGCAATGATCATGGTGAGGCTGCACATGCGGCTATATAATATTGATATGTAAACCCTACACAGTATACCTATTTCGTCAAGCAGAGGTAGCATCCAGGGCAGTCGACTAGGTACCTTACCCTGTAGGAACAGCCATACGTACACAAGGATTCAAAGATGTGTAAGATTAGTACCAAGTTACCTATCTAGTACTTACATGCCTGGGTATGCCCGTGACGGCCATTGGGAAAGCAGGCGAGGTTTACCTACTAATGGATACTTTCCTGGCATTACTCTGGCTGATGATGGGATATATTCTGTAGTTTTGCCTAATATTCCAGTATGGATAAATAATGCGTTAATCAAAGTTAGTGATAAAATATTTTTATACCTCCCATGCCTGTTTGAAAGTGGGCGACTGGGAATTTAGAACCTCGCAGGCTTTGGACACAAAGCTGCGGGCAGCCAGGAACCATGGCTGATTACGTCGTACTGAATCGATCGAAGTAATGCAGGTCCATCATATTACTGACTCGGAAAACTATACGTATATATATGAATAATCAAATAGCGAAAACAAAGATCTAAACCTGGCCCGTGGTTAAGCGAAGAGTCAGTGCGGATGAGATAGGCAAGACCATGTGAGACTCTATTGTAAACAACAACGTTTAGCAAGAAACAAACATGCGCACAGGGAACCAGATGTGGATATATTTTTTGATGAGCTATGTAATGCCGGGTCTAGTGCCAGAATAGCCTCAAGTGGTGCTCGGGAAGATCGTGATGCAAGACATGGCAGAGGCATCGTTTTAGACTGGTGGATGCTCGATGGGGTGCGGGATGGATATCTTGAGGTTTTGTAAGTACTAAGGTTAGGTACAGGAGCGTAAAAAGGAAATTTGGGTGTGAGATCACCACTAGGAGACTCCGTCGCCCGTCTGCTACACAAACTTGCAGAAAACTTGCAGGAGCTTGCAGTTTGATGCAGTAAATCCCATTGAGTTCCCCCCATCTCCAGGGGTGAAACGAAATCGGAGAAAATAAAACGTCATGAAGAGGAAGCTCAGTTGAAGAAAACAACAAGCATCACGTAAACATTGGGTTGCAGAGGTTGTCAAGGATGATGCTGGGCCAAGCAACCAATTATTTGCTTTTGAAGTGCGGCTGGCTGCGCTGCTGCCATGGCGACTATGAGCTGTGCTCCTGTTGCGACGCTGTAAGGGATGCTGGGCTGGCTTACCATGGAGTGGAGGGATGCTCTGGATCGTCCTTGGAGGGGATGGAGCCGCTATAACAGGGGCGGGGTAAGTTTCTAGCACCCTGCTGCATTGTAGCAAGATGGCTAGCGTCTCCAACGTCCGACTTTAGCTCGGTTCTGACCACCGTCTCCCAGGCAACGCCTACCATGTTTGTTTTCCCATCATCCAATCAGGCACATTCCTTGGACTGCTCTATGTGCTTCCCTTAAACACATCTACTCGCCAAAGACGCTCTTCTACCCTCCGACTTTCATAACATAACATCACTTCGTGCAAGTTGTGTCGAGTTGAGTCGTCTAGCCTTTGATAGAGCTGTCGTCTGGTTGCCCGTTCAAGGCGTATTTCTTTCTTCTATCAGCAGACATTGGTCGCATTTCTTACTTGCATTCATTCACAATTGGTGCTGTGCTTCACACCGAGTCGTAACATTCCTCTGCTTCATTTCCTTGTGTATAGTGGACTCGCATACCAATGCGTTGATGGTCGCTTACTTCGACTTGCGACCAAAATACCTATCACTACTGTAGCATGGCTACTGAATCGGTATGTAGACCGCGCCACTCGTCCTGATTCTCGGGTAAAATGTCTCTGACTAGATCTCAGGTGCATCCCTTGCGAATCAACAAGACAACTACACCAACCAAAGGTCCATCTATCATGGCGAGTGGAATCCCTCGCCCGCTGTCGGAGCTCTCGCCGACAGAGATGAGAAGAAACTCTCCCAGCTGGCATAGACAATCCACTGGTTCTCCCAAGGTACGTCGGCTGACCGCCAACCCGTGTTTGGGCTTCTGTATTGATAGCATGCAGAAATCACCCGGAAATCCCGACTCGTCACCATTCCAACCTTCACCCGCGGAATCAGTGACATCTCCTCGTTTGTTTTGGCAGAACCGCAACTCTGAAAACCTATACGGATCTGGGTCACCATCACCAAACCGCCGCTCTTCGATTGAGCGTCTTCAGAAAGCGTCTCGGGTGAGGAACAGCAATATCCTTGCACTCGAACAGAAGCAGGAATATGATCCCAGTCGAATCCCTC